TGCTCTGCCGGATCTCGATTTTCTTTTGGATGTCTGTTACCAGCTCGGGAAGGTTGCGGCGGATATGCTTGAACAAGATGCTGCTGAGCCGACGACGAAGACTGTCGATACCAACTTTCTCACGAGGAATCGAGGCCCACCGGCCCTGTTCGAAGAACGCAGCCTCTTTCTCGTCGCGAGCATCATCAGATGCATCCCTCGTCTCAAACGAACGATTGCGTAATACATGCCAACCAAGTTGTAAGGACACTTTATCATTTTCCAGGAACTGCAGCCATGTGTCCTCCTCTTCCGAACTGGGTTCCAGAATATCTGGCTGGGTAATGATACCAAGCGTTCGTTCTCGCTGCGGGTCAAACTTTCGCGCCATGTCTAGGACCTCCTGTAGATGGTAGTCGGCCTTGGCCGTGATGATCGCGAGAATGATGCTGCGAGTGTTCTTCATGTATCTCTCGGTGATGCCCCGGACGATGCTGATGCCTTTGCGGCCTTGGTCCTGACTGGTCGAGTAGTACAGGCCAGGCAGGTCCACCAACGTCAGTTCGGGCTTGTCTGGGCCAGAGATTTCCACCTTGAGCACGTCATCACTGAACCCGGCGTCCACGGATTCCGTAATTTCCATGCACTCCTTGGCTTTCTCGATCAGTGCGGGGAGATCGTCGCCATTCGAGAAAGCCTCCGGGGTGAATCCGCGGAGTCTCTGTCTCTCATCTTCCTTCGTACGCAATGGACCGGGTTCGATGGAGACTTTGATACTAGTTGACGGTCGTCGGCGGAGAATGACCTCGGTCGCAAACCGCGTGCACACGTTACTCTTGGATGGGAATCGAACGCGTGAGATGGCCTCCAGGACCGAACTCTTGCCGCTGGATTGGTTGCCGCAAACAATCAGCTGGGGCAGCTCCACCAGGGCCCCAACGCCGATGGTGCGCAGCTCATCGATGATATCCAGAACTCGGGTCTGCTCTGATTGCAGCTGGCGCATTGCTTGGTCGGCCGGTGATGGTGTGGTGTTCGACGTCATGATGCTGGTGATAAGGCGGTCTTCTTAAGCCCCAGGCTCGATACGACAGGGAGGCGCGATGAGTCAAGTAGGACGAACTGATCGCACAGAAGTCTGACTTCAGGGAAAAGGAGACCACAACAAGGACTCGGGTGGAGTAGGAGTCGCAGTGGGAAGTGAATGAAAAGACCATGTGCAAAAGAAGCGTAGCGCCTGCGCTAGAAAACCACCCCTGGTAAGTCTATCGACTAGACGCTCTTCCATAAGCGCTTGCCACGAGCCCCGCCAGCGCCATGGTAAAGATTGAGAATGTGAAAGCTACTAGCAGAAATAATTGTGCTTGCAGCGATGAAGCTGCACCGGGCATAGAGATGCCGGTGTTGTGCTGTATGATACTGCTGTTGAGGTTGAGATATCGCTATAGGAAAGTTAGTATAGGAACAGTACCTGCGTACAGTACCTGTAGTAGCTTAGAGTCGGGATAATTACAGCCGGCACACCATCGGCATATCCCCGTTCCCCGCGGCATACCACAAGGCTGGCAACTTCAAAAATCAATATTTGTTTAACTACCCAAATATAGGGATAATGCTGATCAAAGAATCATAATGATCGTCATGATATGGGTTCAATTGCTAGAACTACAGCACTATAATACAAAGCCGCCGTCGACTCTTCGGTTTCAAGAATTCACGTCTCATGGTATTCTCGCCTCCTCCTCCTCCTCATCACCATCATCCACAACGCAAGTACCTGATCTACTCTTCAATCTCCTACTGCCTAGAAAACGCCGTAAGACTTTTTGGGTCGTTGAATCATCACATGCATGCAAAGCCTGCTTTACACAGGAGGTGGCTGGTAGCGCAGCGGCACCACCCATCGGTTGCCAAAGTCAATTCCGTGGCGTCGTCGACTGCCATACTTCCTCCATACGATCTGGGGGATCCCAATGTCTGCCACCGAGAGATTCCATGATAGCCCCTCTCCCGAGAGCAAGGCGTTGACAATACCAGTCTTTGGAGCGCCGAGGCAGACAACTGACTTGGCATTGATGCAGACTCGACCGCCTTCCACCACTGTCGCTTCGCCTGTATATCATTAGAGACCAATCGAAGTTTGGTTTATTGTCCAAGAAAAAGAGACTCACCACTTATGGCAGAAAGACCGGAGGGGACGTCTACAGACAGGACTTGAAGGTTACTCCGGTTGGCCCATGAAATCATTTCGAAGGCTACTGCTTGATCGTCTGTGCGAAGGTCTTCAAAGGCAATGTGAATACCAAATAGCGCATCAACTACCAAGTCGGGGGCAAACTCGGAGGTTGACAGTCGGGCTGAGAGATCTTCCCACCGATGCACTCGACCGCCAATCTTCTTGAACACATCGAGTTGCTTGCGACAATTCTCCAGCAGCTCGTTTTCGTGCTCTATCCCCAGCATACAGACAGTGACACGGTGACCCCTATTGCGCAGATGGCGAGCAGCAGATATAGCCCGTGCTCCAGTCCGGTGATTGCCAGTGAGTATAAGCATTGTCGGGGCGGCCGCATCGCTAGTCAGAAGGCCGACGGCGGCTTCCGCAATGCCTCGCCCAGTGTTTTCTGTTATCATGTCCTCGGTGAGGCCTAGCTCCGCGACCGCAATCTGCTCAACCTCAAGAGTCTGGAGCGGACTCACGGTTGGACAGCTTCTGTTGGTAGTCGTGAGCCGCAGGGAAGCACCAGGCACACCGGGACCGCTTATCGGCGACGCTGAGACGGGGGTTTTATTCGGGCGTGGGCTGGTGGTTCGAGACGTGCTCAGTTGACTGCGACCAAGCGAGTTGACCTGTGCAGGGACCAATGGCTGTCCGAGAATGGCACTGCCTTTACGAGAAGGTGGTGCCCTGGAAGATAATGTGCGCTCACGTCCTGAATAGGTTCCGCTGCTCAGCTTCGCATCGCTCGGGACGTGGTCTGTAAGCTCCTCCTCACTCTCCCCAAGACTGTCGAGAACGTTTTCCGTCCAATGCAGGTTCCTTCCACCGTTCGTCCCAGGTTTCGGTCTTCTGTTGAAACTAACCAAGCGTTCCTCATCAGCGGTAGTGTCGTCATTGCGAATCTCCTCGAAAACCCGTCTCTTATCGAATTTGGACAGATTGCTCTGGAAATCGAACTCGCCCAATTCCTGGATATCCGTGGCATCCTCTGTCGCCCAGCCATTCGGGTCCTCGGCATAGCTGGCTCTGCCCTTCCTCTTCCGCCGCTGCTTGTTGCGTGTCTCCGCGAGTTGTGGGTGCGAGGGCTCGGTGAAGGCCGTCTGGCGCCAGCCCCTGGTCTTTGGGTTTGTGTTGGCTGCTCCATCGTGTTCGTTGACAACTTTGGAAGCCTTAGGCACACCACCGCGACGATTAGTCTTGGGTCCGTAGTGTAAGCTCTGTTGCAAAGGGGGTGTATTTTGTGCCGCAATTCCGCTCTCGGGCGGAGCCTTGTTCACATCCAGCTCAAGGTTGCTGAACGGTTCATTGAGAACAGCAGCCTGATCACGAACGACTTGTTGCGATAGCTGAAGATTTTGGGAGCTCGACCTGTTGTTGGGGACAGATTGGGACGATGGTGCCGCTACTTCTGGGCTCTGGCCGACTGGTTTTAAGGGAGGTTTCGAGAAACTCAGAATCGCTGGGTCCACGAAAGGCTGTGGTGCTGATGGAGCGGGTGGCGCGAAGGTAGCGCCCACTGCCTCCTTAGAGGCAGGGGGAGCAGGGGGCTGCTGGGCAGTAGGCTGGCCTGAGGGTGCTATTGAAAGGTCCGCAATGTCCGGAGCGTCGACAGAGTAGGAGGGAAGCGGGTGACCGATCCACGATAGCTTGACTGAGAAGTGGAGATCATGTTGATTAGCGATAATTCTTTGTTAGGCCTGGAGAAACTGGTTCAAAAAGATAAGTTGAGGAATTGCTCTACCTACCATTCCGTAAAATTAGACGCTGGCCGATGACATTGGCCACTTCTCCTTGCACAGTTGCATTTGGTGGCGTTCGCAGAGTCACCAGCACATCGTAGCCGATAAATTCGGACGCCATGGTCAGTAGATGAGCAGGCAAAGTCCAAGCATGCTACGGGGCCAGATAAGAACCGGAAGGGCACAACAAGACTTCAATGTACATGGCACAGTGAGAGGAAACGAGAGAGTGGGAATGGTCAGCTCCGCTGTTACAGCTTCAGAGGGTGGACGTCACGTGTCAGCCCGGTCCTTTTTTTATCGATAAGGTGTGGTGGGGAAAAAAGGGAAGCTACGTTACTCTACGGAGTACGGAGTACTGTCGGCAGCGATCTACACATATATTCTGCATGGATATGATCCTAGTCTTCTCTTGTCTCTCTTATGAGAATCATTTCTTTCATGATCTTATGAAGTAGGCAAGGTGCTTGGAATCTCAGCCTTACTGGAGAGATACTAACGGTGATCCTTTCCCCCTTATCTACTTAGTAGCAAGGAAGGTAGGGATTCGAAAGGTCTAGACTCAGCACTAAACAACGATCCTTCCCCACAACTTTCGACTATGGCTTTCAAACCACTCCAATTTCAAAAGATTCATTCTCTGGTGAGCAGCGAGGTCTTGTTGCAGAGACGTCACGCTGTCGAAGAGAGATATTCAGGACCAGCCTCCCTACGAACCTGAATGCGGACAACAGCATTTGCCCTCAGAAAAACAAAACTTGGAACGCTTTCGCCAACTCAGAAGAGAAGCCCCGGTGATCAGTGGTGCAATATGCGCTAAAAAAACAAAACAAAAAAAAAAAAAAAAAAAACAAGAGAAAAAAACGGAGGATTCAAGTTCTACACAGAGCGGTTATTCTACAAGCCCAGGCAGTCCTTTCCCCAGCATGTGATCTGTGCACAGGTGATCTGAAACATGTGTACCTGCAAAGTATACTGTACAGGCATGTGATATATCCCCAGTTCGGTCTCTTCCTCCCGCAGCAGCTTCCTCATACCCTTTTATCTGGATGCTTTATATGCTAAAGAGAAGCAGCAGGCCAGTCATTGTAGTTCTCATCGGGTGTCCGATAGGGTCCGTAGTGGACAGTCTTACCCCGATCATTCTGGGCGAAAGGAATGCCATTCTTGATGCGCGAGATTATATCCTGTTATCGTTATTTGAGCATTAGGAATGAACTCGAAAACCCAGCCTACTCACCGGATTGTAGATGAACGGCCTCGCAAAGGTTATCAAGTCCAGCTTCCCTTCCTTGACCAGCCGATCCGCCTCCTCAGGTGTATAATCATGGTTAGCCATGAGCAAGGACGGGCTGCCGGGATACTTGACCAGCGGGCCAAATTCCAAGACAGGGTCGTACCCCGGGGGCAGAGGAAATTCCTCAGGTCGACCACTGCGTCCAAAGAAGTCCCCGGTTCCTGCATTGGGATCAATCCCGCGGCGGCCGACATTAACAATGCCCACCCTGCGGTCAACGAGCGCCTTGATCAAGAACGTGTAGGTCTCTTTCATCTCCTCGAAAGTGGTCGCGCAGTCATTATAGAAGTCCGTAGGGTTGATCTTGACGCAGACTAGCTCGGGTCCACCGAATACCTCGCTGATGACGTCGACTAATTCAAGAGTGAATCGGCAGCGATTCTCGACTGAACCACCGTAGCTATCTGTTCGCTTGTTTGAACGACTGTGTTTGGAACCGCCTTGGTTAATCTGATTTCTAAAGCTTTCGTTTTTGCGAGAAATACTTACGTGTTGAGGAACTGATGGGGCAGGTAACCGCTGGACTCATGATAAGTATCAATATATAAGCCTGTCATTCAGGAATATCAGATCTCCTTACCCTTGGGCCAGTAGCTCAACGCCGTCAAAGCCTGCATGTTTAGCCAGCAGCACGGAGTGACGATAGGTATCGATCACACCCGGGGGATTCTTGATTTCCTCAACATTATCCGTATGTCCCTATATAAGGTTGTGGTCAGCGATATTTTCAACAAGGCACGGGTGTGGAGTGACATGATCTCATACCGGCTGACCCGGAAGGTCACGATACTTTCCCCCTTCAGCTTTGATGCTGGAGGGCGCCAGAACACGTCCACCCTTCTCTCTCATAATTGGCATTTGATCATGCTGAATCCGACCTATCAGATCTGCCTAAGTACCCCATAGCAGCATCAGCCGTCTCCGTTAAGCTCAGCCACTTACCTGCGTGCCAGGCTTGGAAAAAGATCTTCCCACCGGCTTCATGGACGGCATCGGTCACCTTCCGCCATGCCTCGGCATGCTCCATCTTGATCATGACAGGCGACCACTGCCAGTCGCAGCCGGTCCAGTCTACAAAGGTGCCCTCATTCACGATGAGGCCGACGCCGTCCCTGGCTCGGTCCGCGTAATGTTTGATTTGTGCTGGACCGGGTTTGCGGTCGAGGCAACGGTTCCGGGTCATGGAACCCATCACCACACGGTTTCTCAGCGGAAGCTTTCCGCGAACTGTCACTGGCTCTAAGAGGCTTGACATAGTGAAGTACTTTTCAAAGGTGATGATATGAATGCTGGTCGAGTTGGGTGGAATATAGGAGTTGCGAAGTTGAGATTAAAATTGAGCATTGATGATGAAGACGGACACGATTGTACTCCTTATATACCTGTTTCCCGTGCATCTCCACTGCTTCTGGTAGCTTCTCCACGAAGGTATTATGATTAGTTATAGGTATGGATGAGCATCCACCTGATATCATGGCAGGTGGTTGAGTGTACCTAAAAAGTGACTCCATACATCGGGGTACTCTCAGGGCTTTCGGGAAAAAGCCAATCGCAGCGTAGCTATCCCGATGTATGGGGAGGCTGTGGGGCCGCTACCTCCGCTCATGTCCACCACTCAGGACTCTTCAATCCCGACCTCTTTTACTTTACTTCTACATCCCCCCCGTCACTCCGAAACAGCATGAAAGCTCCAAGAGCATGCCTGCAATGCCGATCCTCCAAGCGCAAATGCACTCGCCTCGGCCCTGGTGAGCCCTGCAATGCATGTCAGCAACGACGAACTAGATGTAGTGCCGAGTTACGAAGGCAAAATCCGGTGGGAGTCAACAGCGAGCCAAATCCCGAGCCGGTGGTGGTTCTCAGCGCAAAACAGCAACCGGGCAATGAGCCTGTCCGAGATCATCACACAACCTTGGATCCAGCCCAGGTTCCCTGGGAGACTACTGTGGAACTAGTCGACCTGTATCTCGCCAAGGTCCACGATCGACCGCATAGCATCTTCCACCCGGCGACATTGCGGGCCCAGGTGCGCAATGGCACCGTGGGAAAGGCCCTGCTGTACGCCGTCTGCGCCCTCGGGGTCAAGTTCTCCTCGTACCCGGACCGACGCGAGTTGGAAGCGCGGTTTACCGTGGAGGCTAAGCAGATGCTCCAAGCCGACATTGAGAATGTCTGTCTCGAGAACATGCAGACCTGCCTCCTGATCGCTACCCTGAGCGCGGGGAACTGTGAAACCTCTTCGGAGGCACTCTTCGTTCGTACGACTCCCCTTAATGTTCGATTACTCGTTCTAGTGAAAGATCGACCTACTCACAAATCACCAGGAATCGCTACCTCGATGGCCGAGATCATGTCCCTCGATTCCGCCGCCGCGATGGACGGATCCGTCATCATCCGCGAAACCATCCGGAGAGTCTGGTGCTCGCTCTACGTGGCGGACCGCTGGTGTTTCTCGGGGCTCGGACTCCACCGTCACATGGACGAGCTCGGCACCCCCTGCGGGCTACCAATGGACGAGATCGCCTTCCAATCGCTACCACCGGACACGAGCAACTACCCAGAAGCGCCGCCGACGACAGCGCACGCCACACCGTCCACCACATGGAAGCCGGGCCTCTGGGCGCACATGGTCACGCTGGCACGGCATTTCGGCCCGATCCAGGACCTCAACCGCCGGGTCGCGCGCGGAGACACCGACACCGCCGAGCTGGACCAGAAGGTCCAAGACCTCGGGGACCAGCTCGAAGCCTGGAGCCGGAAGCTCCCCGCGGACACGCAGATGACGGTGCCCAACCTACACAGTCACCAGCAGACCGGCCGCGGGGGAACCTTCATTGCGTTGCACCTAGCGTACCACCACTACTCCACGCTCTTGTACTTCCGTTTCCTCGAAGACGACCAAACCCAGACCCAGAACCAGAACGAAAACCCATCGTCATCCTCCTCCCCGTCATCATCACCATCATCACCCCCAAAATCCCGCACCTACATCCACCGCTGCAAACACCACGCCTCCACCTTCAGCAACCTCCTCCACCTCGCCCGCCAAATCAAAGGCTGCGAAACCAACTTCCCAACCATCGGCCACATGACCACCGTCTCCTCCTCCGTCCTCCTGCACACACTACTTCTAGGCGACTCGACAGAACTCGAGGGGGCGCGCGCCGCGCTGAACGCGAATTTCGAGGTGTTGATCGAGCACCAGCAGTTCTGGCCCACCACCAAAGCCATGGTACCTCCCCACACCCCTACGCCAAAGAACACAGCCAGATAATGCTAACTACCAAAAAAAGATCCACAGACTGATGACCTTCCAAAACATATGCCTCCTCTCCACGGAATCGCACCGCTTCGATGGATGGATGGTCAAGTTCCTCCTCGAGCACTCCCGCGCGCTCGGCAAGCGCGAGATCCCCTGTGTGCCGGCCACGGCGCTGCTGGATGCGGAGTCGGAGAGTATGGTCTCCAAGACGAGGAGGTGGATGGAGCAGGGCCGGTATATGGATTTGAGTCTTCCGCTGTAGTGGAGCGTAGCTCGTCGGGAGGCACGGATTGCAGTGGGGTAGGAGAATGCCTAACTGTACAAAGGGGAAATCGAGGCGCAGGTGGGTTTGTGACAGTGACAAACGGGACCATAGCCATAGCCATAGCCAGAGGGTTGCGTCGGCATACAGGTAAGTCCGCCGGGCTGTCTTTCCCTCGGCCTCGTGGATGGTAAGTGATTGGTTGGTCCTTAGTCTTGCTCTGCCTGGACTAGAGCTCCGACTTCAGTACTCCTTCTATCTGGAGGGCTTTTCATCACCGACCCCATGAGTTTGTGCCTTTCAAGGCATGGGGACGGAGAAGTTATAGCCTACCGCCTCTTACACCCCACCGGGATCCTTTTCTCCAGTTATTCCGGAGAATAGTCTACGCTCCTACGTCTTCAGTGCCACACACTGAAGAGTATATCCTTAGATCCTACGGCTAGGTCTACTCATGGTATCCAACAGAAATGAGAGGGGAATGTTCTTTCTTGACATCTATTACCGTACCCATGCTCAATGTGCCCTTCGAACGATGCATTTGGGCAAGATCCCACCATATATCGCAGTATCCAGTCCAATCCACATCCACAAACAACCACCACAATATACATCCCCACCCCTTGTAAGGCATAAATAAATCACAAAAACTCCAGGGTATATGTTCCTTTTTGTAAAATCCCAACAACTGACTCAAAAAATTCGTAAACAACCTCATAACTCCTGTTTATCCAACGCCCAGATCTCCCAATGCTGCAGGACTTCCCACCCGACCCGACGGACTTGGCGGCGCCATTCGCGACCACGGGGGTCCCGTATGACCTTCGGGAGGCAGAGGCCGTCCTCGTCCTCGATCGGGGAATGGATTGTCTCCACGGTGCGGGCGGGCGGAGTCTCCTCGTCGTCCGGGCGGCTGCGTTTGCCTAGGACGGAGGGTGGAGGTTGGTAGGTGCTGCTGCTGTGGGTGGTGTTGAGGGCGGGGATGATCGAGGCGTTGTACGTGTTGTGATGATGATTGCCGTTGGGCAAGTCTTTCTCGGGTGCCGCAGCATAATTGAATTGCTGCTGCTGCGAAGGACTCCTACCGGTCTCGGCGCTTGGGGCGCGGGTGGTACTCGGGGTTTGAGGCTCGACGGCGTGGCCATTCGACGGTTCCGAGGGAATGGTGTAGTGTTTACCTAGGAGGAAGGCTTTCCGGCCGAAGCCGAGGACTTTCAGTCGGTGGAAAATCTGTTGATCGGCGAGGGCGGCGCTGAACTTCTCGATGAGAATCTCATCATCAGCGTCGACGAGGTCTTGCAGAGTACGTGCTGAGGCGAGGGGGTTGGCGGAGCGGGAGAAGAGTTTGGAGGTTTGGCCGGTTAGCAGCTTAGACGAAGCCTGGGTAGAACGGGCTTGATCCGATGCTGGGCCGGTGGGAACAAGGATACGAAGTGCGGTCAATTGGCGGAGGAATGGTAATAATAAACCCAAGGTGTCCATGGTCGAGAAGTCTGCGGCGAAGCCTAACTGTTCGAGTTGCGGACTGGCGTGCACAAGGCGCGCTATCGTGTTGGCCGACAGTGGCCAGCGTGCGGGGAGCAGGAGGTGACGGAGAGTGGAGGCATGGTTCGAGATGATATTATTCAGGTAGCAGTCGCGAATGGTTGCTTGCAGACTAGGGGAATTGACCGGGGTGTTTGCGGCCGACGAGTACGCCACTGAGCCGTTGGTGTCGGACTGCGGCGGGGTGAGTGCCGTGGCAGCGACGGGCTGTCGCGGAGAATTGATATCATGGCCGGGATTGGAGCTGGCGTTGACGAAATACATCTTCTCCAAACCCGTGAAATGACCTATGAAGTCGGCATGTCGTCGCGACAACGCATCTTGTCGGATGCATTTGATGTGGATCTCAGTCTGCGGGACCGTCGGCCACGTGCTGTCCACAAACGTGTTCATCGAGACATCTGAGCCTATGTCATTGAGAATAGTCACCTCTTCCAAGGGTTGCTGGGCGAAGGCAAGCTGAAACTCCTCCGTATGCAGCGCATACAGATTCTGCAGCCCAATTTTCCGAATGGGCAAGGGTCGTTTCGCCGCGATGCACTTGCGGAAGTAGTCGTGGAGCATGACGCTGGGCTCCTGCTCGATGCGCATGCGCGGCGACCAGTGAAGTTTCAGATCCCGCAGCTTCCTGCACCGGAACAGTAGCGTGGAGATATCGTCCGGATAACAGAGTGGATCGATGTCGGTGATCTTCAGGGACCGGAGTTGGGGGATGGCCGGGATGACGATGGTCGGTCGCGGATGGCGGCTCGACGGAAACCGCAGAGTCAAGGAGGTTAGCTTGGGCAATTGCGCCAGCCCTAAGTACACCGTCTCCATCATCTTGGTGTTGAGCTCCCAGCTGAAGCTCTCCAGGTCCGGCATCTTGTCCACCGCCGCCCGCACCGCGATATTCAGCATCATCGAGGAGTCCGGCACCCGGCCCACTCGCGCATGTTCCTCTAGCTCCGACTCGCGCCAATTTCCACGGAGCGTCAACGATCGCACCAGGTTGGCGTATGGGCGCGTGATGACGGCGTTGAGCCCCATGGAGAAGGGGCTGGCGCTCCCCATGCCCTCCGGCTGGTCATCACGATAGCGGATTTTGTCATAAGAGGTCAGGGTGATGTTCCTGTAGAGTTGGGGCAGAGTCATATAATTGAGTACGCGGCATGTTCGACAGAGACGAGCGAGATCACCAGGATCATCGAGCTGTGAGGTGTCTCAAAGATTAGCGCACCCGAGAATCAAGCAAGGGCTCGTGGGGGACGCACGGAGGAGATAATGAGAGCGATCAAATTCAGCGGCAGAACCAGTAACGGAGCACCTTTGGGCCGATCCGTGGTGACACTGGCTTCAAACATGTTCTGATTCACGGTCGCCATGATGCGACATCTGTAAGGGAGATGGGCGTGGCATGGACTGTAGTGAGAACAAGACAGCTGAAGCTCAGGGCACAGGCAGACATTTGATTACGCACGGGGACTAGCAGGAAGAAAGAAGCGGCGCGGCAGTGATTAAAGAAAGGAAAGTGGATAAGATGGCACGGAAGTGAGCGAGTGAGTGACGAAGGGAGATGGAATTATGGAATCCCGGGGAAAGCTTTTATGCTCGGCTGACTCAGACTGCCAGACCACCTCATCACGCTTAAGCTTAACTGCGTGAATTCTGCAGCACCCCAAAGACCAAGAGATACAATGTTATCGCTATCAGCATATGATCGCATCTCTATAAGTTATCATCTTATCACTAGATTGTGCCCCCACAATTAGACACAACATTTGCGGCGACACCCAGCCTCTGGCATATCATTTTCAATGCACGGAACTCTAATTATGCGCATAACTCAAGCAAGGGTCAGAAGAGACACATGCTTGTAGTACTCATAGCCTTGTGCCTATAAAAAGACTTAATATAAAGAAACTCCAAGACAACTCCGAAGTCTCCCCGAAAAAGAAACAATCCGTCCAACCTGCCCAAAGGTTCAGACCTTAATCGGCCACGCCCCCAAGGTAAACTGCGAATTGCACATATTGGTCAACTCCCAGGTCTCGGCGCCCAGCACCGCGGAGCTGCCCTCATCCTCCCAGTCGCCCATCGCGCCGGCCACAAACATGGCGGCCATGAAGTGATCATCGGTGGCATGCGCATCGCGGTACTCCGGATGTTTCATGAGGCGGGTCATCGCGCGGCGCAGCTGCGGGCCCGAGGTCTTCATGAGGACGTCCTCGACGGCCTGGCGGAACTCCAGCGCCCAGGCCTCGGGCGGCGTCTCCATGGCGAAGTTGTCGCGGAAGCGCAGCATGGGCGCCCAGCGGTTGCGGTACAGGTTGTGCACGGCGCCGCCCGTGCCGATCAGCAGGTAGTTCTCGCGGCGGAGCGGGCGCAGCACCGCGCCGACCTTCAGGTGGAAGTGCGGGTCGTAGCGCGCGTTCAGCGAGATCACCGTCGTGGGCGGGCAGCCGCCGGGGAACATCCGAATCAGGATCAGGTAGACGTCGTGGATCCATTCGAAGGTCGCGTTGCCGCTGACGTTGAAGCCCTCGCGCGCGAGCAGCTCGATACACCGCTGCGAGGTCGCCAGGTCTGGGTTGAGCAGGTAGTCGACGTATTTCGCCGGGTCGACGTAGGCCACGGGGCTCTTGCCGGGGTTCGGGTTCGTCGCGACTTGGATCTGGTCGTTGAAACAGTCCCAGTGTGCTCCCTGAAGGGTTTGCTTGTCAGTGTATGTGTGTACGGGCTTGTGTCTCGGGTGGTTTGCTCCCTTACCATGATCACAACACCCTTGATCCCATGCGCCAGTGCTTCATCGCCACACTTGCGCCAGTAATCAGCCGAGGAGCTCTCCTCGCCCAACATCATGGTAGAGCCATGTGAGAAGAAATGGACCGGTGTGAGACCTATGATAATTAGTGAGTGTTATCTGATATGCAATTGGAACCGCCCATGGAAACAAAAAGCGTGCAGTCCACATACCCATCTTCTTTTCTTTGCAAGCAGACAAACTAGGATCCGCTTAGTCGAGAGCGATGTCAATCAGGATATGAGGCTAAAGATCCTAGTCGCCTCATGGCTGGTCTGTCAAATGACTTATACTCGGGCGTTTACCCCGGAGAAAGTGAGAATCGGAAGAGATTCGGATGAGGGAGTGGACCACAAACCGACCACTTCCCCACGTGGACCACACACCACAGCCGATCCATAACCTACAATACATTATTGCGGAGAACTGTGGCAGCTGCGAACCCGGCATTATTGATTCAAGACCTTTCATTTTTATTATCTCTACACATGCTCAAGTGCATGCATTTAAGCGTGTTCATGATCCGACTCCAGTTGCCATCTAGGCCATCTTCGTTGCAGTCGACTCCTTCACCACATACCCTTCCTGTCCCTCGCCATCGAGAGATCTCGATCTGGACACTTTCTCCTCATCATCCCCCCTCGACTGAGTGATTTCATCTTTACTATGCTCAATCGGAGTATGATCTTTGATGACCAGCCACGTGGGCACCACCGCAAGCCCTACGACACGAGTCATTAGTCAACCGTCCATCGAAACGCAGCTACAAGCAAGAGCGAGGAGTCATACCCAGAAGAATCGTGTTCACAGCGAGAGGAACTCGGCCTCCATACCAATCGCGGGTATTGAGGCCGAAGGATACGGCCTGGGCAAAGCTCTCCTGCCCGCGAAGGATACCCGAATAACGCGCTATTGCCGGGTCAGTATAGGTATTATGATGAGGTCAGCACGTGGAGTACACACCCAGCTCAGAGATGTTGTCTGTCATTGTAGCGACAAGGTAGTACATGAAGTTCTGCAGAGCTTGCTGGGAGAATTCTGGATCAAAGGACGATGTCAGTGGGACTAGATCGTACTTCCAGAGGAGCCAGGACGCACGCCAGAGAATCAGCACAAAGAACCCCTTGACAAAGTCCTTGCTTGTCCAGTCCAAGACTGGAGGGTTGGCGGTAAATTGTTCTTGAACAACCCAGCCATAAGTCCAGGCTGCGATGTGGACAACGATGACGTAGTAGAAGCTATCGGAGGTTAGTGACGGGTTTGACGATTGACAGCCGTGGGCATACCTGTATATGATACGGCTCTTGACAGGAAGACCCTTGTAATCGAGGAATCGACTAATGATCCCGGATGATAGCAGGCTTGCAAAGTTGCCTGAGCAGCGTTAGCTTCTGAACGGTATTGCTGATGGATGGGAAATCAAGTTTTAGGCGGGCAACATACTAACGAAGCCCATCAGAGCTCGAGCTCGGACGTTGAAATAATAGGTTTCGAAATCTGCAGACTCATATCAGCAGGTGAATCAGAAGCATAGACAATTTGACATACTGCCACTATACTGGTTGAAGTAGGCGGCCCAAAACACGGGCAACAACAAGAGGACCTGGACGGATAACATGAGATGAGCACCTTGATGGCAGGAAACAGTCACTTACCTGCTTCTTACGGCAGAGCTTCCAGAGCTCGTGCATCTCAGCGCGCCATGAACCCTGTGCGATGATCCTGACGGGACTCCCATCGCTACGTTGAACCTTTTCAGGAGGCGAAAGGAAGTATGCGACAGGAACGGCCAGACATTGCAGCGCAACGAAAATCAGATATACCTCTAGATAATGTGTCAGTCGGCGGTCGCTATACAACAATCACAATTTGCTGCAACATACCAGGCTGAACCTTGCCTTTGCCCCCAGGAGAACTATCTCGAGTCAGCAACGTCCTGTCTGACTCTTCGGGGGCCCTTACTGATTGAGACCCAGGACGATAGCGCCACCCAACAACGGTCCACCGGTTCGAAACCACAGCCAGATACTATCTTGGGTCAGTCATCTTCGAATCAGCCGTTTGCGATGGATGCATACTTCATATACTTGCCGCGTTTGCCCGGCTCAGGATAGCCAAGTGCTACCGCGCCCTCAGAAGCCCAGAAAAGTCCCGCCCTGACACATATGAGCAGGAGATTTATAGTCCAAGTTCGAAAGTCTTGACTCACGATAGTCCACATGCTACCGACCCGACGAGCACGAACCAGACATTGCCCTAATCCGGTAATTAGACGCAATCACAGAAGATCGCAAAAAAGAACTCACATAGCGGTTATTCGTATACAACGCCGCGCTGCATCCTGTCAGTCGACCAGATCATCCAAAGAACCTCTAATCTCCGACACATACGAGTAAATCGGGTACCCAACCGCTCCCAGCAGCAAGGTCCAATGCAAGCCAATCCGGTTGGCAATCGGGGCGCCGAAAATGCACAGAAAGCCCACTGCCGAAAGACGCTTATATGTCAGTGCACCAAGTTCGACTGCGCTTTTAACGAAATAACTGACTCAGAGCAAACACCAGTGCATTGGCAGCGTTGATCAAGAACGGCGATTCCGCGCCGCCAGCACCCAAAGAGCTCATCGCATTCCACAACCCCGGGGCTAGGAAGCCCACTCCGCCGATCACGAAGGCATTGAACAATGTAGTGTGGTACCATGTCCGTTTGCCCAGCTCGGGGGAAGCATTGCCGTGAAATGCCATCGCGAAAGAGCTAGAGTCCGCTATGGCTGAACTCTCGACAAGTGATTTGCGCAGTGTGCGTGTGTGCGAGCATACGATGGTGGCTATTTGTAGGGCGACTCGCAAGCCCCGGTTGAGATTTTCATCTTTGGTGGCACAATCATGTAGCATTCCATTTCAAGCATCATTGACGTGCAAGATGGCGTGCTTGCAAATTTGCCGACTTCCCATCTCATCGCAAAGCCTCTAAAGTATTAGTATAGTATAGTATGCTTGTTGAGGCCAATGGAGGTGGAAGTTGGCTCTGGGTGAGTGGGACGCAGAGCGGGCTGGACCGCAATTGTCCTTACGTACTTGCTTCCGATCCTAAGCGAAAACTGAGTCACTGAATCGATAATGATCTGAGGAAATATGAGTAGGAAAGACGTGCAATGCCAGCCGATGCGCATTCAACAAATGCTCAACAGATGCTCAATTCCCAATAAAACTCAGAAATGTTCTTCAGGAGACACAAAATCCAAAATAATGATATATACGTATATTAAAGTCTGTAGTACATGCATCCCAAGGGGTATCTTTTTTTGAACAAAACTGCGCCAGGGATCTTCGATAACGGCGAGGTATTTCGAAGGTGTGAGAAGGCCTAGAACATCAGCAACACTTTTTTGAGATGGCTCCGACCCGAGCCGGTTTTGAGTAGGCGAAAGGAGAACAGTGAGTGTATAGCAGCCGAATAAGGAGCTGTCAGACACTAGCTCAAACGATTTGATGGGCGCAAAAAGATGACCGTGATATATAGAAAGATCATGTTCAAATCCGATACTCCCCGCTAATTCAAGCATCCATGTAAGCATTAACCCGAGAAAACAAAAAGCAGAACCAGGAGGAATATGAGCCATATGAGCCCTAGTGTGGTATGATGTCAATTCATTGCTGAGATCGAGCATCACCAGTCGGTGGAGTGCCGTTCGATTGAGCATGGGGAGACTGTGGCGGAGGGGTTGGATCTGTTGAAGTCCTATCTGCACCCGTTGGTTGGCGTTCACCAATGTTGTCGTCCAGAGCTAGCTCCGAAGTGAGATAGGCAGCAGGAGTTGGGGCTTGATCTGGGCGAAAATCATCAAAGCCCACGAGAGCCGCTGCCTCGGGATCATAGCGCAGTTCCTGATACATATTGCCATCGTCTACGCTCCAAGGGGCAGCGCTTCGGGTTTGTGGCTGGATGACTCTCAAAGGCAGGTCCGTACGACCTTCAAGACGCCCCGAGGGAGTCCGTTGGCTGGAATTTGTCGTTTCTAAAATACCACTATCATTGAAATGTTGCGGCGACCAGGTTTGCTGTCCTCGCCGTCTCGCAGGGATGACAGTGACTGGTAATGGAGAATCTGAGCCCTGACGTCCAGAACCGGGTCGCAATCGTCTCGGGATCGGGAAAAAAGCTCCAGCTCGATTGGGCCGAGGGTTGTGCTCATCGTCACTGTCGTCCGAAGGAAGGTCGGGGAGGGGATTATCTTCTCCAGCAGGATGCGATCCAGGGGCTTCTTCCCCGGCCTGTGCTGAAGCAACCTCCCTTGGCAGAGATGCGCGCCTTCGTTTGAATGGATTCAATAAAGTTCGCCACCCTTTGTCCAATTGAACAATTTGAGGAGATTGTTCTCTGGTCTGCTGCTCCGACAATCTATTATGAATTAGATCAGCTTGTTGGCTCTCCATAGCTGTTGCCATCTCCTTCGCAGCCAGTTCATCGTCCATCCCCTCTTCTTCCTCTTCCATATGTGGCATGGCAACTGGTGGCGTCGGACTGGATACGGGGTGATAATGCACGTTGTACACGGTACTGGCTGCACTTGTAGTATCGGCCCGACTGATGGGGGTGAGGGCCGCAGGTGGAGGGGTAGGCCGCGAAACAATCCTCCGGCGCCTAGCGTCAGCGGATGCAATATTTGTCTGGTTCTCCAAGTTAGACTGCCAATTGCGCCCACCTCTGGTTCGCAGAGGACGATGAGCCAAGCCCATCATACCTCCCCAACCAGAGGACATGCCAGCACCACCGCCGCGATCATTGTTGTTGGGGTTGTAACGAGGCCAATCGACCTCCTCTGAAGGAGTCACTTCGAGCATTTCGTCTCCATCGAATATCTCCCGTCCCAAGATACCATCCTTCCGCTCATCTCTTTCCAGAGCTTCGATCCGTTCCACCCATTCCCAGACAACGACACTCGCTGCAGCTGATCCAACCCATCGGACATAGGTACCCCACCCGGCAACCTTCGGCTTCGCCATATCCAGAACAAAAAAGACGACCGGAATAAGGACGGCGCACAGAGACAAAAGAGCCACCAAGCAAATGTTCCTCATTTTCGGATGAAAGAAAGCGAATCGGTGTTTCGAGAGAGAATAGAAAATGACCCAGGCAGCGTAGAGCAAGTTCAAAGCAAGCTCAAAAAGGTAACTCAAAGCCGGTATCGCGTCTTCGTATAGTCGCGGACGCGTGGTATGAGATTTCACCAGGAATTTATCCAGGATGCTGAATGTGGTATCGAACACGATCAAGGCGAATCCTGCCCACTT